TTAATAATATAAAATAATTTTATATATATATATACAAAAACTAAGAACTAATTACGATACTTTATCTATGGCAAATAAATGATTATTTAAATATAAAAAAAATTAATTTAAATATATATATACATATAAATGGTCTTCCAATTTTCTTCATTTAAAAAAAAATATGATAAAAAAAAAAATAGAATGAATGAATAATAATAATTTATATATACAAAAATTATATGTAATTTTAATATATCAAATAATAATTATTTAATATAAATGAATAATTATAAATAAAAAAAAAGGAAAAGAATTAACTAATATGTAATATGATTGATTTAGGGTGGCAAAGTATGGGTACCTCATCCCGACAAAATTTGGGAGGGTGCAATCCTCTTAGAGGATTACAAAGTAAATCGGCCAACATTAAAGGTACACACGGACGACTCGAATCAGACGAAAACCTTAGAGATCAAATGCGACGACGATTTACCACCATTGAGGAATCCGGATATATTGATGGGAGAAAATAATTTAACATCTTTGTCGTTTCTTCACGAACCAGCTGTACTTTACAATCTACAGATACGTTTTCAAAGGCATTGCATTTATACTTATTGCGGTATAGTTTTGGTTGCCTTTAACCCATACAATGAATTACCCATTTATGGGAATGACACGATATGGGCGTACAGGGGTCAAGCTATGGGAGATTTGGAACCCCATATATTCGCTGTTGCTGAAGAAGCTTACACTAAATTGGAAAGGTATTTCTTTTTTTTTTTTTTTTTCATTTATTTAACATTCAATTTCGTGAACATATTTGTTATCGTTTACACGTGTATTACGTGATTTAATTTTGAATGACAAATTTGTAGGGAAGGTCATGATCAATCGATCATTGTATCAGGTGAATCGGGTGCTGGTAAAACTGTTTCAGCCAAATATACCATGAGATATTTCGCAACTGTCGGTGGTTCTACGACTGAAACGCAAATTGAAAAAAAAGTCTTAGCTTCTTCACCGATCATGGAAGCTATTGGTAATGCAAAAACAACTAGGAATGATAATTCATCGAGATTTGGCAAATTTATTGAAATACAATTTAATAAAACTTATAATATTACCGGTGCCAGTATGAGAACTTATCTTTTGGAAAAATCAAGAGTCGTGTTTCAGGTAATTCAAATAAAATAAAATAAAATATATGAAAAAAAAAAAAAGAAAAAAAAAACAAATAGTTTCAGGGATAGTCTTGAACCAAAAAAAAAAAAAAAAGAAAAAAAAAGAAAAAAAGAAAAGAAAAATTGATTGTTAGTTAAATACAAATAAGATTCTTCATATTATGTTAATTATATCGTTCAGGCAAACGAAGAGAGGAATTATCATATATTTTATCAAATGTGCTCGGCAGCGAAGCGTCTTCCACATTTACATCTTGGAAACTCAATGGGTTTTCATTATCTAAATCAAGGAAACAATCCTATAATCGAAGGTGTCAACGATTTAACGTGTTTCGATGATACCATTAGTGCACTTACCATGCTTGGTTTTACATCGAAACAACAGGACGATATGTTAAGAATATTAGCAGCCATATTGCATTTAGGAAACGTTAATATTAATAGCTTTGACGGACAAAGTGATAATCGTGACGATGATACAGAAGCCAGTTTTATTTCAGTAAGTTTTTTATAATATCAAGAACAAAAAATAAAATACACTAATTACAATTACAACAAATTCTAATCAATTGTTAATATTATATTATTTATTTTTGATGAAATATTCATTGATTATATAATTAAAATTATAATTCGTATATATATAAATGAAATATTACTACTAATTGATTAAATTATTTCTAGCCAAACGATAAACATTTGTTAATAATATCGGAATTACTTGGAACCGATGTGAACGCCATGAGAAAATGGCTTTGTCATAGGAAAATTGTATCAATGAGAGAAGTATTTTTAAAACCAATGAATGCTGAACAAGCTACCGGTGCTAGGGATGCTTTGGCTAAACACATTTATGCTGAATTATTTAATTGGATTGTAAATGGTATCAACAATTCTTTACAATCTCAAAGCAAGGCTCAATGTTTCATCGGTGTATTGGACATTTATGGATTCGAAACGTTCGAGATTAATTCGTTCGAACAATTTTGTATTAATTATGCTAATGAAAAGTTACAACAACAATTTAATCAGCACGTATTTAAATTAGAACAAGAGGAATATTTAAAGGAAGAAATCGAATGGACTTTTATAGATTTTTACGACAACCAACCGTGCATTGATCTAATCGAAACGAGATTGGGCATATTGGATTTATTGGATGAAGAGTGTCGGGTAAGGATCATTCATTTTATTTCAAAAATCAAACCTTCATTTTTATATTTTATTTAAATATTCTCAAGTAGACTGTAGTTCGTTAGATATTTTCAAATAAAATTGTTTTATGATTTTAAACAAATATGTTTGAATAATTTGTAAGACGAATGTACAAGTTGTATTTATGAAATTTCATTTGTTAATTAATTAATAATTATTATTCACAGATGCCAAAAGGAACGGACAGCTCGTGGGCCGATAAACTTTATGCAAAATGTAACAAATCTAAACATTTCGAGAAACCACGATTTGGTACTTCCGCTTTCTTGATTCATCATTTTGCTGGTTTGGTACAATACGAGACATTAGGTTTTCTTGAAAAGAACAGAGACACTGTAATTGAGGAACAAGTAGACGTTTTAAGGGCTGGTGATGTAAGTCAAATCTACATTTTCTTTTTTTACAAGATATTATTTATAATATTATATACATTTTTTTTTATATTTATAGAATAAATTATTGAAGAAATTATTTTGCGATGAGGATCCAAAATTGGTTGTACCAAATACAAGGGTCAAAGTATCCGCACAAAAACCAGTAATAACTCCCAAACAAAATAAAAAAACGGTAAACAAATTGTATGGTATAATATTAATTAATAATATATATATATATATATGTATAAATTTTCAAATAATTGTTTTTAAGGTTGGTTCACAATTTCGAGATTCTTTAAATATGTTAATGTCAACGTTAAATGCAACAACACCGCATTACGTTCGTTGTATCAAACCAAACGATACAAAGGAATCATTCGAATATAATCCAATACGTGCTGTACAACAATTACGTGCATGTGGTGTACTTGAAACGATAAGAATTTCAGCTGCTGGTTTTCCAAGTCAAAGAACATATTCGGAATTCTTTCAAAGATACAGATGCCTGTGCGTTTTCAAAGAAATCAAAAGGGATGATCTTAAAGAAACTTGTCGTCGTATTTTAGCTAGGTCAGTGATTTAAATTTAAACATTAAAACAAACAACATGATATTCATTATATTATTCAATCAGGTATATCAAGGACGAAGATAAATTCAAGTTTGGTAAAACAAAAGTATTGTTTCGTGCCGGACAAGTTGCATATCTTGAAAAACTCAGAGCAGAGAAGCAAATGAACGCTTGTATAATGATTCAAAAGACCGTTCGTGGTTTAATATGTCGACATAGGTATAAAAAAATACGACGAGCTATTTTGGGTCTTCAAAGATACGGTAGAGGATTTTTGGCAAGGCAAAGGGCTGACAGAATCAGATGTGAGAGAGCTGCGATTAAAATTCAAGCTAACGTCAGGGGTTGGTTAAAGAGACGATGCTATCAACGAATAAGACGCACAATTATTGGTATTCAGGTTTATGGTAGAGGTAAAATGGCAAGAGAGAGGTATCGTTTGATGAAGGACAATGCTGCTGCAACGATCATACAACGATTCGCGAGAGGATATCTAGTCAGAATGGCGTGTAAAAAGAAATTAAGGGATATCGTTATAGTTCAATCATGTGTTAGAAGACACATGGCTAAGAAAATCTTTAGAAGACTCAAAGCAGAAGCTAGAAGTGTTGAACATGTTAAATCACTTAACAAAGGTCTTGAGAAAAAGATTATAACATTACAACAGAAGATAAATGATCTTGTATGTTATCTTATTATTTTTGTTTTATATATATATATATATAATATCATTTTAATTATACAACTTAATATAATTCAATTATTTTAGGCTAAGGAAAATCATCATTTAAAGAACGTACATAATGAAGTATTTGATTTGAAGAATAAATTGGAAATACTTAAACCTGTAGAAGCAGAGAATAAAAAATTAAATAGTATTTTATTATTGAAGGAAAAGGAATTAGAAAATTTTCAAAATCTATTGAAACAAGAGAGAGATGAAAAGATGGATATTTTACAGGTAAATGTATAAAATAAAATTATTCCAATTAAATAATAATAATCAAAATAATCGTATATATGCATATATAATATATATATATATATATGCATTCTTTTATATATAATCTTATTTTGTATTCTAAGTTCTTGTTGTTCTATAGGATAAAGAGAAAATCACTCAAGAAAAGGGTCAGGAAAACATTAAACTCTTGGAGGAGAATGAAAAATTACGAAAAGAATTATCAGTGGCTAATGATAAATTGAAAAGTAATTTACGTGGTGCTGAAGAAAATCTTAAACATCGTTTGGAACAGGAAAAGGATTTACTTTTGTTGGATCAGGATCAAGATCGTGGTGCTTATCAAAAATTATTGAAAGAATTTCATGAATTGGAACAACATGCTGAAATGTTGGAACAAAAACTTGCACTTCACGTACCAGGACATTCTCGTTCATTGAGCAATGCTTCCAGTAGTAGTGGACAAGTTGTTTCAACTGAATTACCACAGGATGATCAAAATATTGTAAAATATATTTTTATTAAATCATATTTACGTGTAATTGTATTAACAAAGATCTAACAAATTTCATTCACGTATTATTTATTGTTTTAATATAAAGGATCTTGGTTATGGATCAGTACGATCAACTGCATCATCATCAACGCCATATTCAAGGGTGGAAACTATTGATTGGAACCAACAACGTTCGAATAGTCCACCTGACGGTGAAGTACAACCTAATAAATTACCTTCAGAAACAACCAATGGACCAGCTCATGCACCCGTGGACATTAATTTGGTATTGAAACTTCAACAAAAGTTGAAGGATGTTGAAAAAGAAAAGGGACGATTGATTCAAATGGTGGAAAATTTGGAACGTGATAGTCCTGAAGAAGCTTCAAGTACTCAGGATACTTTCAAGGTATTTGTAATTGAATAAATATAGTTTAATTAATTTTGTTTAATAATGAAATTAATGACTTTTTGTATGGTACATTTTGTTTCATTAGCTTCAGGAATTAGAAATGGAAAATGCGCAGCTTAAAAAGGATTTGGATTCGTTAAGAAAAGTAGTATCTGGCACAGATCCAACAGCTGCACAGCAACACCTAATAGGTAAATTGTTAATTGGTATAGTTAAAAGAATTTTATTTAATATTTTTTTTTTTATTCTAAATATATTATGATTTTTCTTTCGTTGTAAATTTACACATATAAATATATATATATATTTTTTTTATTTTTTTTTTTCTTAAAACAATACACAAAATACATTACACGCATTTGTAATATTATTGAGTTTTTATTTATATACCTTGAACACATATCATCATAGATATTTGCCATAAAATATAATCAAATAAAATATAAGGAAAAACAAATTACAAGTTTTTCTTTTCACATTTTACGAATACACAAAATTTATGAATACTTTATTTGTGTTATAAACAATAATATAAAATTATTGTGAAATGAATTTGATGTTCATAATATGAAATTAATGTAAAATATTTAAAGATAATTGATTAATTATTTAGGACAATTCGAGGCATTGCAAGAAGAATTAGAAAGAAGAAGAGAAGAGTGTATACAATTGCACAGTGTATTGGCTGATCATACTCGAAGAATGAAGAGTCTTGGTTCGAATTATGGTCGTGACGTTGATATTGTTAACGAAGATGGTGAATTGGTTCTTGCATTTGAAGCACAGAAGAAAATAAACAGGTAATTAATTCATACAATTTGATAAATGTAATCATATAAATATATATATGTCTATAAAAGATTGAATTCTCTCGTGGTAATTCGTGTCTAATAGTTTATAACTCGTGTTTTGTCGTTTGTGCATGCTATTCGATTTCTCAATAGACTTAAGACAAAGCGAAAGGCATCAAGAGAGTGAGTTGAGTAGATTCTTTGACGCGAAACATTAGACATGACATGTGTTTTATATTTTATAAGTTGAATTATTCAATCGAAATTAATTCCAAAAAAAAAAAGAAAATACAAATTAATTTGTTGAATAATTTTACTCTTAAACAAAGAGATGCATATGCAATTTTAAATAAAAAGAAGCCGATTGAATAATTCCTTTTTTGAAAAAGAAGAATCGTTTGGTTATATTAAAAAAAAAAAAAGGTCCCATACATATCGTATTAATTTATTCATATTTATTCAAAAGGCAATTAGAAGACGAATTGCAAGCCAAAGAAAAAGGTTGGAGGATACAAAGGGACGAATGGAGAGAAGAGATCGACAGATTGCAAGAAGAAATTGAAAAGCAACAGAAATTGTTATCAGTAAATCTTAACAAATCACCACAAACACAAACCGAAGCTTACTTGCAGTACGAAATTACCAGAGTGACTTCTGAAAATTTGGTAATTAATTTCAATTCATTTATATTCCACTTAAAACAAACAAAAATTACTTACCTTTTTTTTTTTTTTTTTTTTGTAAATATACATTTATCATTATTATATTGTAGGATCTTCAAGAAAAATACGACAAAATAGCGGAGGAATGTAGAAAACTCAAGAAACAATGCAAAATCTTGGCTAAACATCTGAAAGATGCTGGATGTAAGTCCAATTAATTTTAATATAATATTTAATTAATTAATTAAATAAAAAAAGTAGTAATGTTAATACATTAGTTGTTAGTATATATTACGATTTAAGATTATTTTATTCTAATGCTATCAAAAGACGAAGGAAATGATATTAAGGAACATAAGGATCGTTCTTATATGCTAAAAAATACTGGTGAGTGTGAGTTGGTTTAGATGAATCATTCATATCATCCGATATCACGTTTCATGCCAACCACAGCTCTCACCTGTAGATGACATTTAAAAATATGATCATTTATATAATATTATCAAGATTTACGTGTTTTACCTTTTATATTTCTTATGATAATTTATTTTTGTATTACAATTAATACTTCATATCAAATTTATTACAGTACCAGACAGTATAGAATCAACCAACGATTCCAGTACCGCCCCATCAACAGTTCATTCGTCTGGTGATAATGGAACGATTATGCCAGCAATTCGTAAAAAGGAAAGAGATTATGAAGGAATGTTCGAATTTAGAATGGAAGATATTGGTGTGATAATACGACATTTAGTTATCGGTAAGTCAATTGAAATATTTTCTAAAGAAAACACGCGCGTGCAAATGAGTCAACTAATATATTTGTATGTTTGTAATAATTTTCATATTTGTAGATTTAAAACCAAGACTAGCAGTTGCTTTGTTACCTGGCCTACCAGCTTACATAATTTTTATGTGCATAAGACACACTGATTTCATCAACGACGACGACAAAGTTCGATCATTGTTAACCGCATATTTGAACGGTGTTAAACGTATCGTTAAAAAACGCGATGATTTTGAATACAGCGTTTTATGGTTAAGCAATACGTTAAGATTGTTACACATTATGAAACAATATTCCGGTGATAAACCATTCCAATTGGAAAATACACCTAGACAAAACGATCAATGCTTAAGGAATTTCGATTTAAGCGAATATAGGATCGTATTAAGTAACGTTAGTTTATGGATATTCAATAACATTGTGACAACATTGAAGGAGAGAATTCAAGCTTTTACGGTACCGGCGCTATTAGAGCACGAGGCGATTTCTGGATTGAATTCAAACAAACCAGGTCGTCCCCGTTCGTCGTCAATGGGCGAGGAGCCGGATTCTACCCAGCAAAAGCTTAAAAAACTCCTAGACGAGCTTAGTTCTGTGCACAAAACTTTATTATTTCACGGTGTAGATCCAGAAATAATTACACAATTGTTTAAACAATTATTTTATTTTATGTGCGCTAGCGCCTTGAATAATTTATTATTGAGAAACGAGCTTTGCCATTGGACCAAAGGAATGCAAATTAGGTAAATTGATAATGTTTTATTATTTAATAATAATTTATGAATCTGTTCATTTTGTCAGATCAGATTTGTTTGTATTAATTAATCAATCAATTTGTTCAGAAAGTTTATGACGATTTAGAAATAGTATTTCATGAATAACAACAACTTATTATTAACATTTAGACGAGTGGGGTCTTAAAAAATAATGCAATTTATATTAACTTTGATTATTAGGTATAATTTGAGTCATTTAGAACAATGGGGCAGAGATAAACGAGTAACTGCAGCTGCCGAAGCACTTCAACCTATCATCCAAGCTGCACAACTTTTACAAGCAAGAAAATCAGACGCGGATGTGCATTCGGTATGCGAAATGTGTAACAAATTAACGGCCAATCAAATAGTTAAAATATTAAATCTGTATACACCGGCTGATGACTTTGAAACCCGAGTACCGGTATCATTTATTAGAAAAGTAGAAACTGAATTGGCCAAACGTGAAGAAAACAATGAACAGGTAATTACATTTACTTATGTATATTAACAATACGTGTTTAATGTGTCAGAAAGTGTGACCTGGATATTACAAAAAAAAAAAAAAAATAAACTATGAATGTTTCTTTCAGCTTTTAATGGACTTAAAGTACACCTATCCAATAAGATTTCCATTCAATCCGTCGAACATTCGCTTGGAAGACATCGAAGTTCCAGAGGTGCTTCAACTACCAATGCTTAAGAAGATCTAATTACATTGGCAATACAATTCTCTAAAAAGAGAGAGAAACAGAGAGAGAGAGAGAGAGAGAGAAAGAGAGAAAGGGAGAGAATCTCTTCTTCTTACTACTCTCTTCTAACTTTTAGTTAATTATTATTCCTATTAATATTATCATTATTATTATTATTATTACTATTATTATTATTATTACTATTATTATTATTATTATACGAGAAGGTACGTTCTATTATTTTATTTATTAAAACAATCCTAGTGATATATACTGATACTCTAGTTACGTTAGTAAAAACGCATGAAATGAGTTATCGGTATAACATTTTATAAATATACACATATACAGATTTTTTTTTACTCTATATCTAATTTATACTACACAAAGATATAATTCTAATTAATCGAAGTCGCGTCCACGTTTAAAAGGAAAAGAAAAAAAAAAAGAAAAACTAAACGTAACGTAACGTTTAAGGAAAGGGAAGATAAAGTATTATTATTATTTTGTTAAAGTTAAAAATGATTATACAACACAACAATTTTAAGTTGGTAGTTAATGTATAATATATTATGATGTAAGATGAAAAATTAGGTGAAGAAAAAATAAACAAATAATATTTATTCCTGCTAGATATAACACATATACATACATACATACATACATACATACATACATGCGTATATGCATGCACGCATGCATAAATCGTACATGCATACATATACACGTATATTATATGCATAAGTGAAAGAAAATATCGAAGGAGACTACGTTAATGAATGTAATATAGTCTCTAATTGTTGTCACTATGTTTTCTTTTTTTTTTTTTTTTGGATTTTCCCATTTAATTATAAACATTAGTTCCCATTGCAATTTAAAAAATTGCAAAATGCATTAATCGTCGGTACAAACTTGTTCTACTCTAATGGCAATTGTTAAATAGGATCCTGCAGCACACAATACACGCTCCACACATACACAACACGTTGTAGGAAATATGTTGGAATTGTAATTAAATATGTAAAAAAAAAAAAAAAGAAAAAAAAAAGAAAAAAGAGGAGGAGATGCAGGAGAGAGAGAAAGAGAGAGAGAGAAAAAGAAAGAAAGAAGATATGTAAACGCGTTATGTTGGAATAGGTTGTATATTTTGTGATACGAAAGAGTTATTGTGTGTGAGAGAGGGAGAGTTAGAGAGAGAAAGAGAGAGAGAGAGAGAGAGAGAGAGAAAAGAATATAATGTTGTTATATTATAATTTATAAAAAAGTGTACAAGCGATTAATTTTTTTTTTCTGTGCCATTTTAAGAAGTAGATGTTAACAAAAACACGGCATTCCATATTCTTCCATATTCTCATCATACTCGTAGTAATTTGGTTATTGTTTTTTTTTTTTTTTAATAATTTATTTTTTTGGTTTTTCATTTATTTTGCATCGTAAAACGAATAATAAATAATTCAATAGGAAAATCTATGAATAAATCAATCAACCAATAATTAATTATTATTGGAAGAGTAAAAAAATGGCTTCCAAAATGTTATAAATCTATAAATTAATCTATTTACGTGATTAAAAAAAAAAAAAAAGAAAAGAAAAAAAAAATATATACATTTACTCGATGTGAAAATATTAAGAGAGAAAAAAGAAAACGATTTATTTGTTCCTACGATGATGAAAATAATAAATGAATTCGTTGATCATAATAATACAATGGTTTTCTCTTTTTAAACGATATTATATTATTATTATTATTATTATTATTATAAATAATACATAAAAATATTATATTTGTGTATATAAAGATATGAAATATTTAAATGCAGCCAATTACCTATGCAAGGTAAACATTTTCCTGTAATGTAGAATATTTCAATCCATTTTTATTAATTCTTTTTTTAAACATACTGCATAAAAACGAAATAAATTTATAAAAAAAAAAGAAGAAAAAATCAAACAAAAAGCAAGTACAAAAAAACAGTAATAACGTAATTATTATTTTTTTTTTTTTTTTATTATCATATAAATAAACATTTACTTTATGTTATTCTGATTGTGGGAGAAACATGAATTAGGAGTATAAATATACAAGTGAATGAAGCAATTGTTAACAAAGAACAATATTTAATATGCTCGAAAAGTAAAAAAAAAAAAAAATAAAATAAAATTATATCACTTTTTAGGCTACATCACCGGCATCGTTCGGTGAACGTACGTCATCAATCTTTAATATCATTTTGACTAATTGAGTTGCCAAACAAATTTGTTGAGTTTTGCTCGTTAAAGTTTCAATAACATTTTGCACCTTCATGTCTGTAAATATATTGCAATTTATAATAATATGATTTAAAAAAAAAAATTGATTAAAAGATCAAAATGAAGAAGAATACAAAGTAGAAAAAAAAAAAATAATAATAATAATTACCTGCTGTACCGCGATTTAAACAATCAATTCCTAATGTAGGATTATCTTCTGCTATTTGTCGTGCTTTAATCTCTGCTAACGAATCTACTGGAGATAATCCGGAATTTTCTGCCAAGGCCATTGGAATAGCTTCCAAGGCTTCGGAAAATGCACGGAAAGCGTATTGTTCCAAAGTACTTATTTTATCAGCTTGCCATGCACACGCCAATGCACATGAAATTTCTGATGCACCGCCGCCATATACAATCTTTCTATCTTGGCTGGTTATAACGTTACGTACCGTGCACAATGCATCGTGAATGGCACGTTTAGCTTCTTCAATGATCTAATAAAAAGAAAAGAAAAGAAAAGAAAATAATATAATATTAAGCTTTTAATATATTTACTTTTGTTTAAAATCATGAATATTTAGTTTATTAAATTGTAGCACGATGAACAAATCTTGATCAATGAAATTAAGATACATTGAACTATAATATTAGATTCATATTATGCAAGGTTTATTTTGCAAGGTGTCTGGTCAGTAAAACGTATAAAAGACATAACTGAAATTCTCCTTGCATGAATCTATCTCATACATATGATAATTATAATAAACGTAATGTTAATAAAATTTCTTACCATTTTATTGCCTCCACGTATGAAGATAGTTACTGCTCGAGAATTTTTACATTCTTCGATAACAAGCATTTTATCTTTGGTTGTACCAAAAGATAATTCTCTGACAACACCTGCATAACCAAGTTTCTCTGGTGTTAATTCTTCGAATCTTGGAACAATACGTCCACCAGTTGCAATAGCGATTAACTAGAAATCATATTCTTTGTATAATTCATATTAATAATGGTATGTTGATGTATGAATATGTAGAAAAAAGAAGAAGCCCTCAGATCTCATAATCTTATAGTCATCAGAGACATCGCTAAAGTAGAAGCCTTGAATAAATAATTCAATAATAATCTTATTATTTTTATATCAATCAATTTAACATCAATTGATATAAAAATGCAAAGATCGTATGAATTAAAGTTAAACAATTTTCCAAACTCTTGCACCTCCTCCATTATGTTTTGTCATCATTGGGCAAATAAGATTTAAAAAGAAAAATTGTATTATTTTGTACGAAAGAGAGCTTACTTCGATCTCTGGACCACCGACCCATCTAACTGCTGGTAAATCATTTTGCAAAAGAAGATGATTTGCTTCGTCATCGAATCCCCATTGACAAATGGCTAGTGTTGTACCAGCATCCTTTACCAATTTGACCATTTCTGTGAATTTTTCCCTTTCGTATTCACGTAATGCTCTGTAATCTTCGACTGATGCAACATCAAGCTTATGTTTTGTCTTAGGTTTTGGTGGTTCAAACGGACAAGTTAAGATCGCTAATTTAACTTTTTCTAGCCTCTAGAATAAATAATTAATATTGTAAATAATATGAGATATTAAATTATTAAAGTGTAGAAATGATTAATTATATTTTATATATCGTATGTGTGTTACCTTGGGCATCTGAGGATGACTGAAGTCTTTGTCAATAACTACACCATGTACTAATACTGTATCTTCTAATCTACCACCAACTTTTCCTTCAACTTTGATCAATTCAAAGTTAACATCGTTCGTAGCAAAATCACAAACAGCTAATACAGCATTTACTGCAATTTCAGCCATTTGTCTATGACACTTATTGACACTAGAAAGAAAGACATAAAATTATTTCATTTACAAGTATCTAAATATTAACATTATAGTCTCAAACAATTATTTAACAAAATCAAATAATTACATTTTCGAACCAAGCGATGTCATTGCAATTTTAATATAAGGTTCAATATTTTCATCGATCTTTGGAAACTTCTGTGTAATAGTCTTAAGATGATCTGTAGCACATTTAGCAGCCATTTCAAATCCATCTGCTATTCTTATTGGATGTATGCCCTTGTCTAATAATTGTTCAGCTTGTTCTAACAATGCGCCAGCTAATACAACTACACCAGTAGTACCATCACCAATCTCATCGTCTTGAGATTGAGACAATTGGACCATCAATTTAGCGACTTCATGTTCTACATCCATATTTTTCAAAATTGTTGCTCCATCGTTGGTTACCATAACGTCTCCATCTGAACTTACCATCAATTTATCCAAACCTCGTGGTCCCAATGAAGTTTTGAGAGTATTAGCAACATTGCGTGCTGCTAAAATATGCGACTGAAAATAAATAATTATTATTAATTAATATTTTCTTTTAAATACAAATTTATAATTACAAATGACCGCTAACAAATATCAGTTAAAAGAAATTTCAAAGAGTTTTACGAATACCAAATGGATATCCTTATATGGGCATAAAAAAAAGGTTTGGCTGATTTATGCGTCGCAGGACATTTGTAAAAGAAAAAAAAAAAGAATATTAGTAAAAAAAAGAAATTGATAAAATATATAAACGTTTAAACTCATTCGCATAAGTTTGTTCGAAAGTAAAAAAATGAAATTTTATATATTAATTAAATAATAATTGAATTTCTAGAAATAGTGTTGAGCCCACATGCCGCCATTGTTCTTGTTACATAGCTAATTATTAATAAATAAATATCTAAATCTGAATTAATTTAAATACAATTTTAATAAAAAAAAAAACATCTTAAAATAATAATAATAATATTCGACTAATTAAATGTATTAACATGATGGTTATAAATATTATAAAAAATTAATATATTTCACGATGGAGTTCGTACCTTAACCGCATCAGTGCCGGTCAATCGTTTTTGTTTTTCTTGATTCCTTAAAATGATGAAAGGCCGTCCGTATTCATCAAATGCCATAGTTCCCGGAATCGCAGTCATTTTGTTATAATTTTGAAAACTATTATTTCAATGTTATAGAATTAAAATATTTATTTATTAAGCTGCAATCCTAACAGTCACGCTTCTAGGCAACCATTTTGTTTCTGAACATACAGGAATAGGACAGAAAGAAGGAAATACGTCATAATTTAACATTGTGCTGCCATCTTTTCCGATAAAGATGCGATGTTCGATTGTACAAATGAGATCAATTTTAAAATTGCAAATGAATCATTTTTAAGATCTTATTCGTTTAATTATAAAAATACTATTTAATATTTATTATTTTAATTGTAAATCAATTCATATAATATATAGCAAAAGATAAAGTTTAATTTTATTTATAAAATATTAGAAACTTATTTTTAAATATTATTGGCGCTAGTATCGTATGCGGCACAAAAGGAAACAGTGCTACAGTAGTGCCCTTTCCTCTGAATGAACTTCCGGTTTTAGTAGTTGTAATATATTGTTTACGACTAGTTTATAACAAAAGAAATTTTTCTAACATTCTAATATAAACAATTTACAAATAATGTGTATAACATCTTGTAGTTATTACTTATACTTTACTCTTAATTAAAAAATATATATTACCTTAACATCATTTATGTATTAAAGAACAGTTTAATTTCCGGGCAGGAACAGGTTTGTTAGCAATTTTCCTATTAACATTTATTTAAAAAGTATTGAAAAATATAGAAATATGATAATAATTAATAAAATTTAAATAGTATCTAACGTAAGTAATTTATCGACACAGTATAAATCCAAATATATAGTTAACCTAGGTAATATACCGACTCAGCTAATAATCCAATGAAATATCATTGTATTTATAACATTTGAATTGTTTTTTGATCAATTTTAAAACATAAATTATTCGTAAAATTTTTCTAATATACTTTACAATAGTGTTAAATATTAATTAATCAATATATGTAATGTTAATACTAAAAATATTTTCAATCAGTAACTAAATGTATTTTCGATCATTTTGTAATTATTGATTTTCCCGCGTGTGCGTGCGCATCTCAACAAGTGATGCGCTACGAGAAAGCGCGGTAATTTTAAAAACGATGTAATGAATTAAAACACTGTAGTGATGTTTTAAACGTTGCTTCACTTTCATATTTTCCAGATTTAATGTATTCGTATAACAATAAAAATAATAATTAATAACAGATCAATATTCCTCGATACCTGAAGCTCGTTTAAAATATAATTCAGTGTAATAATTATAAATAAAAAAGAAAAAAAAAATAATCCTTTTCGCACTTCGTATTTTTTCCTAAACTAAAAACTGTTTTTTTTAATTATAGATATAGTAGTAGTAGTATTAGTAGTAGTTCAGGATAAGCACACAAAAGTGAGATCAGAGATGGACTAAAAATAAAATGGTAAGGAACAGTCTGGCTCTCGGCACTTCTGTGCTGTTGCTGCTTCTTCTATCGTTCGCATTTCATCGTTACAACGAAGAATGCTGTTTTTGGAGTGACTCCAAAAAAGTATTCGTGAGTCTAGATAAGGTCTCATTCTCGGTTGTATATAATATATCGTACTTGAGTAACATATTTTTGGAAGTTGGGAAGACACCTGGTTTCATTCGATGTATATTTGATACTAACACATATAATCAGACACGCGAGAATATATAAGCATGAATAATATACATAAACTTATACATAGAAATAAACATATATACATGGAGGATGCCTCGACGAAGAGAAGAGAACATTTTACGGTGGTTGTCATCTTGGGAGAGGGAACAAACCGTATTCTTTCTCCACGTAGCTTCTTTGACTGTGTTGTATCCATTTGTACGTACACAGTTTACGCACACCATCGAAACACGTTCATCCAAAGAAGAGAAGAAAAGAGAAGAGAAGAGAAGAGAAGAGAAGAGAAGAGAAGAGAAGAGAAGAGAAGAGAAGAGAAGAGAAGAGAAGAGAAGAGAAGAGAAGNAAGAGAAGAGAAGAGAAGAGAAGAGAAGAGAAGAGAAGAGAAGAGAAGAGAAGAGAAGAGAAGAGAAGAGAAGAGAAGAGAAGAGAAGAAGAAGAAGAAGAAGAAGAAGAAGAAGAAGAAGGGAAGGCTCTAGAGAGTACTTACTCGCCCAAACGTAAAGTTGGCGGATCGTAGCACTGCGCGTAGTCTAGACTAACCATACTATAGCCAAAGAATCGAATCAAGAATGGGTCAAGACCCCCTCTGAATAACGTTTAAACATCTTACCAATCTCTACCGAGGCCGTTCTCTTCCGCCATATCGGTACTACATAAATAACAAAATTTATCTAACTTTAAGAACAAATTCATATCACTTTATACAATTATATTTTCTTATATATATATTTTTTTTTTCTCATTAAAACAAATATAGAGATATCATTCGTATTACTTGTATATCAATCGTTTTCAAATTCATAAGATTCTAATTAGTATATTTATTTGAATTAAAAAATATTTGTTAACTAAATAATAAATTTATCATTTAAATTTCTAATTGAAATAGTAATGGGAATGAACGAAATCATTTTAGGAACGTTTACAAACAAAAAGAAATCAATTAGAATACTTTAGAAAATAATTTTAATTAGGTAGTGTAATATATAAATGAAATATAAAATAAAATAGAAAGAGAGAGAGAGAGAGAGAGAGAGAGAGAGAGAGAGAGAGAGAAAATTTGTAAAATAGCGTATAGATAAAAAAAAAATGATTTTTATATTAATTAATTATAAGAATACACATACATACACACACACACATAAGAAAAGGAATATTTTGGGAAAGGGATTTCTAGTGAATTAGAGAGATTCATAGTATTATAATATAGGCGTTATAATTTGAAATAGTATAGATACGGCCCTGAACACGATCTCGTGTATAGCCTTCCACGAGTTCGTACACAGAGAGCGGGTTCGGGTTCTGTCGTGTCGTACGGATAGAGGAGAGTCAGTGCATGCAGGCCGTGCGGCAGGTTCGCCTGCTTCAGGTTTTCGTCTCTCCTGTCGAGGATTCGCCGCGAAGCCCGGTTCTCGCGTGCGCACGACCAAACAACCAACCAACCAACCAACCAACCAACCAACCAACCAACCCAACCGACCCAACCAACCCAACCAACCTACCAATACAAACAACAGTGTTCTTCCTTTTGGTGGGAGAAGGAAAGAAGACAACTTTACGTTTATATACATACACCTTTATGTGTAGTATTATTAGTGTGTACGTAATGACGTATTTGTGTGTGTATGTTCCTTCGATATAAAGAGAGAGAGAGAGAGAAAGAGAGAGGAAGAGATAGACAATACGACGTTGATTATCGAGCGAATATTTTCGAAGGCCGTGTGTCATTTTTTAAAAGATCACTCTTGGTTTTTTATTGTTTTTTTTCTTTTTTTTTTTTTTTTGCTTTTTGTTATTATTAATTATTTTGTACTTCAGATGAAAACATTTTCGATTAAGAATAAATGAAAGTGTGTTTTTGCAAATAATTCGTTTTCGTAAAGTGTAAGCGCGGCGGAGTGTTTTACTTATTAAGTGAAATTATATTTTGTGATCAACGTTTTGAAACTTTATAAAGACTGTGTTAAAAAGAAAGGAAAGAAGAAAAGAAAAGAAACATTCAAGGTGGAAGGTCGGTTGGTGCGCACCGACGCGCTTCCTCGATCGAAGCCCCTCCTCTTTCCTTTCTTCCTTCCTTCCTTCCTTTCTTCCTTCCTTCCTTCCTTCCTTCCTTCCTCTAGCGATCTACGAAAGATCGATCGAATATTATCGATCCCTCTCTCTCTCTCTCACTCACTCACTCACTCACTCACTCTCCTTTCCCTTATCATGCGAGACGATGGTTTTTCTCGTTTTGATAACGCGGTTAGATGGTTGTTGTTGTTGGCGTGGTCACGCGCGTTAAGTCACGTCGGATTTTAACGTGAAATTTATTTCTTCAAAACTTATATACATATATATGTATGTATGTATGTATGTATGTATGTATGTATATATAAGAATAATGAGTGAAATTTAAATGAAACGTTATGTAAACAAAGGAACAAGAAATCTTGAAAATCATTGCCTTACAGTTCATTAAATTTAATATTTATTATTTAATAATAATTTGTGTTGGATTATAATATTTATTATTTAATAACTAATTGTGAAAAATATTTGGTATGAAAAATAATTTATGATAAAAAGCGAAATCACGAGTGAAAGAAATTAATATTTTTAAAATACAAGAAACATTATCTACTATCGTACCATCTAGCATCTATTTATCTATATATATATATATATATATATATATA